TGGGTGTCACAAATGATTTGCAGGAAGGGGTGTAGACGAATACCTCTGCTCTAGGGCATGAGGCTAACGAATCACAAATCCAACCTGGTGACTTGTGCAATTTTGATTTTGCAAAGGGTTATTCATCGGATGCTCTGGCTTCATGCGGTTCTAATTTGGGAATGCATCGAACGCCTCATGCTATGGTTTTGATAGCCAAGGTAGGAAAGGTTGCTTTTAATTCATCCATTATGGACAATTATAATGATGGAAATGCTTATGGAAGCAGGGACTTGAGTGATGTTATGGATACAAATGTTATTTCTGAGTTTGATAGTTGGTGTGTAAATCCACCAAATGCAACAATTAATGATACCTCCTAACCAGTAAACTACACTTCAGGTGTTTGTGCAAATGCCCCTTCAAAATCTTCTTGATGGAATGATCAACCTACTTCACAACATCCGTCCTCCATGCAGTAGAATGTTGTGAAACCTACTCTAGGAATGGATCATAAGTTTTTAGAATTGATGATGTTTGCAAATCGGGAGTTATGTCGGAGGATGGTAATTCAATGAGCTTGAAAATGGATTCTGTTCATGCCAACATAGAAAAGCCCAAAAGAGGGCTAGTTGGCAAGCTAATTGATACGAGGTTACCTTAATTCGTATTGTACGAGGAATTAAAGCATAAATTGTCAAATTTGGGGGATTTTTAGCTTTTCACCATCTCCACAAATTATTTCATGTGCCTTTTTGGAAGTTCCGAGACACGGGACGCTGTTCTTATGAGAGGATCGTAGGTCGTTGATGGACATATTATTGGATTGGATTGTTGGTCACATCCTTCTCTCACCAATCGACGATGGGGCTCTCCTCTCTTGTTTGGATCTGCCTCTCACATTTACCACTAATATATTAAGACAACACCAACCTCGCTCAGATAGCATCATTTTTTGGGCAACAAAATTGGGTAGATGCCCAAACAAACTCTTGGGGAAGAAATGCATTTTCACATGTTTGTGTTCGGATGGATCTTGCTGCAAAGCTACTTCCTAGAGTTTGGATCATAGGTCTACATGGCAAATTCTTCTAAAAGGTTGAGTATGAAGGAATCTCCCAACTTTGTTTCCGATGTGGCTATGTTGGGCATAAAATTATCATGTGTCTCAATGCCCCTCAACCTTCTAAGCAACCTAACCAACAAGTTCATAGAATTCCTGCTGAATTGCATGGAAATCAGCACAAATTAAGCCCGCTACAACCGATTTTGCATGAACACAACAGCATTCCCCTTTCTAGTGACCCTCATGTCACTAATAGTTGCACTCCAATGGCGATCAATGACCCGAAGCAGTGAACCGTATACAAAAAACATCGACATGTGTGTCCCCTTCTATAGAAATCACAAACAAGAGCAATGCTAGCATATACAGATCCTCCAACACTCTCAGATATTGCAGGTCCTCCCCTCTTGGAATCACCAACTTCCACTCTAAACCTCTTCCCACTGAATGCGCTCCTGGAAGGTTCTCCTCCAAACCTCTTCTTGCTAGCATCGAATTGTTCTTGGATGGACATCAAGTCATTCTCCACCAATCTTGTTCTCTCCACAAGCTCACTAATATGGAACGGAACCAGGAGATGCCTCTAACTATCTCTCAGGCCTTGCAAAAAATGATAACACTTCTCTACAGGGGTGCTAACTAACTGGTGAGCATACCTGGCAAGAGCTGTGAATTTTGCCGCATATTGTATCCCTGTCTTGATCCCTTGTATCAATCTTAGAAATGACTCTTGCATTTGCTTCCTGGCAGACAACGGCACAAACCAACTTTAGAAAGTCTCTACAAACTACTCCCAACTAATCTCTACATTCGACCTATCTTGAAATCTTTCCATTTGCTGACCGGCCTACTAGTGCTCTACTTTCTATCTAATAGGAACACTGCCAATGGGACTCTTTTGCCCTCCAAACAATACATACTATCAAATGACTTCTACCCTCATTAGTCAATCCTCAATTGTCTGAGGATCAACAACTCCCTGGAAATGAGGTGGCTTCAACCTTAAAAATAGCGGCAAATGCTTATCAATCTCGTCTCCATTAATTCCTACCATCTGGTCATGAGCTTCACTCATCAGCTAGGCCAAAAACCCAACAAAGTGCATCATCGAATCAGAACTTATCGCCCCCACTATGATCTTAATTGTTGTTGCCTAACTGGAACTCTATCCATCAGCTGCTTCTTGTTCTTGGGGGCTCATGATGCAACAACATTTTAATCTAAATAAAACTAGGTTTAAATTCATTTATATGCATACTTCGCACAACTTACAAAAAAAAAATTACATTGGACTTCCAATTCCCTTCTCTTATTAAAACAAATCATTTCTGGTAACTCTGGTTACAATTTCCAACCCTTCCAAACCATTTCTCTAGAACCACTATGGGATGCCCTAGGATCGAATGGAAAGATTGGCATGCCTAAACTTATGATTGAATCTCTAAGTAACAACAACAAGAGCTACTAAATTTCAAATTATAAAAGCAATACAAACAAATTTTATTTCATCAAAATATAATTACATTAATCCAAATCACGTTAGTCTATGCATCAAAATAATAAGATTGGCTTACAAAAATCAATACCCAAACACTAGGTCTCAAAAGCGTGCTTCTAAACCATTAAACTTGGTCGGGCCCCTTCCTTTTCCTAAAATATTAGAAAAAATAGAATGGGCGCAACTAGCTCAGTAGACTTCTAATTCTGACCCATCACAACTATCAAAATTTAAATTAAAAGATAAAATTTAACAAAATAAAAAGGCAATAAATAATCATTAAAGTACAAGTACAACAGTAAAATAGTAAAATACAACTTTTAGGATTCAAGCGCGTACTTAACATTTTCATTTACTTGCAAATCCACTTACATGGATATTTTTTTATACTTTATAAAATACTTGCTATCAGAGATTCACTTATACTTGACTTTTGTATTTCATCAAAATTCATACAAAGTTTCAAAAAATTCAATTTTTATTGCTTATACTTATTTCATTAACACAAATGCAACACAATGATTAAAATGTTAATATCCCGAAGTCTGCTTATAACTCCACTTCTACTTATGTCTCTATTTTATCTTTCACTCCTACCTATGGTGAGTGGAACCATAATCAGAATAGAACATTGTTGCATAACCTCCCACAAGTGCTTTCAGCAAGTGAGGTCAGAATCCCTCCCACATCCGCACTAGGCAAATGGGGTCAGAACAAAACATATATGATCCTTGTCACATATCAGAGAGTGCACTTTTCCATATCTCAGAACATCTCTAATGTCATGCTATGAATAGTATAAATGTAATTGAAATAGTAATTGAATTGTACTTCTCAATGTAAGGCTTGCATAATGCATAACTTGCAAATAAAAGCCACATTACTTGTAAAATATAATATCATTTAACTTTTTTTGATCAATTTTTAACTTTATGGGAATATTTACATTAACATTTTAAGATCTTTACATAACTAATGCAATGGCTAGAAAAATCCCAATCAAATCATATAATCAGAATTTTGCTTAGGAAAAATCAACTGATAAAAATTCAATTTCTTATAGTTAAAATGGTCAAAACAAAGCATGCAACAAAATATAAAACTTTACGTGGTGAAAACTTAGTCAAATTTGACAAAAAAATATATTTTAATCCATAACTTCATATAAAATAGTAGAAATTTAAATCTGAGATAGAAATTCAGAAGTCTACCTCGTGCGCTATAACTTTTCTAATTCGCCCGACGAACAAAGCTTGAGCTTTTGCTACCAAAATCTCTCCCTCTCTTTCTCTTTCCTCTCCTCTTTTCCCTTCTTATCCTCTCTTCTCCAGCTAGGGTTGAGTAAAAATGGATTTGTCAAATGGTTTTAGATGTTTTATTATTTAAAAATTGCTAACTTGATCTAGTGCCATGGAGGTCACCTCCCCAATGCCGCAGCTCCCCCTAAGAATCTTCCTAATTCTCCTAGAATCCTTCTAGCTGAGGCCCAACGCCGCTTCCTGGAACAGCAACGCAGCCCCAAACCTCATTTTACTTAATTTTACAGAAAGCTCAATACTGAGGCACTGTCAATATTGACGTTACGGCGCCCACAAAGAAAATTTCCTAACTTGCATTTTCACTTCTCCAACCCAACCCTTGGTCGCTTAAAAACCTCATTAAACATTGAAACACCAATAGTTGCAAATTAAATTAAATTCAAACAAACATTTATCTTAATTAATCTTAATTACCTGAATTTTGGGACATCGGACTTAGTTAGGTATATCTACTATGAATTTGATGACATGCAAAAGAATCATGATGTGTATTAGAAGTTTTTCAGTTAAATAAATTAATTTTTTTTTTTTAAATGCTTCCGTTCAAATGAATTGTGTTAATTTTAAAATTCTTTCAACTTTAAAATTATGGTTAGCAAAAAATTAATAATACATATCTACATTCATCTCGTGTCAACCTAAAGGGGTTCTCATGGGGTGTGACAATATAGCAAAATTTAATATTTGTGGGTTTTAAATCTTTTGGTTTGCTGCATTAACTAAATTTTACATGTAGCCAAACATTCCTTAGATGTTTTAGATATCATATTTATTTAAACCCTAAATCCTCATAAAAAGCTAAACGGTTTATCAGGATTTAAAGATATTTAATAATTGTCGCACCAAACAGTTTTCCGATTTAATACTCTCAAAATTACAAATACAGAAATTACATGAGTTAAATCCACTTCTAACAGATTCGTAAAGCATGCAAACTACAGAGGAAAATCAAGATCATGTATTAAATATTCTATTCTGAGTTCAAACCTACTTGAGCTAAATCCTACTTCTAAAATATTCGAAAGGCAAACGAATTGCAGCAGAGGAAAATCAAGATCGCGCTAAAAATCCATAAACCTAATGAGTTAAATTCAAAGACAAAGGGAATTCAGTGACGGCTAGAGAACAGGCGTTGTACCTTTCGGTTCAAAGCTTTTCAGTGCACGGCCTCCGCGGAGAAAAATCACAAGGAAGGCGAAGGAGCGGCGATGAATCAGCTATCCAGAAGAAGCAGCAAGCCAGCGAGGAGACAGAAACAAGCCTGCGTCGATAAAAAGCGAACCCGCAAATACTTTACAAGATGAAAACTAGCTTGCTCGTCAAAAGGAAAAGCGGACCGGCGGAACAAGCCGGGGGGCCAACCTTACTACAAGAAAATTAATTAATAATTATAAAAAAATAGAGACAAAAATATTGATCGTATCATTTGATTATGCTGGGGGCAATTGCCTAAACATCATAGTATTTTAAAATCTTTAGGTGGGAGGGGGGCAATTGTCTAAAAACTTTTGTAATTAAGACTAAAAAATTGATGGATGAGAACAAATTACCTAAAAAATTATATAATAAATTTTTTTGGGGGGGTGGGGCAATTGCACGGGACTATTTAATATTGACTCGTGGAGTGTACATGTGACTATTTAATTGAATTTTAAAGAATGAAGATTTTCCTCCAAACCATTCTTCATTTTCATTGGCTTTTCCTCATTTTTTTTCTTTCTAAGCCGATATCAAAAATTTATTAAACTAAAATCATATATATTGCAAAGCTTTCGCGATTATTTTCATTTAAAAAAAGAGAATCAACCTTAAAATCTAAATTTGAACGGGATGTTGAACCTCTTGGCCAGGTGGATCAAGCCGATAAGATACAAATTAAAAACAAAATCAAATTTAAATATCCAAGTCTTCAAACTATGTGTCATGATTTAATTGGAGTCTGAATGTAGAGCTACGTGCGGACTTCATACAGTTGGGGAGAAATTATTTGTTACAAAGTATGTAGCCCTATGTTCGGACTTCAATTAAATCTTGGCACGCGGAGGAGATAAGTGGATGTTCGATTGGATATTATTTATTACTTTTGTCTTGTTAACAAAGTCCAACTTGACACGAACCAACCCGACCAAAAAAAATTGAATTCACAGGAATTCAAAAGACTCAGAGCTAGGTCATTTTACCTTTCACCAGGCATTTTTCACTACTCACTCTCTCGTTTGTTATTCTTATTCCATACGTTGTTCTTCCAATCTTCAGCATTTAAGACGTTGTAAAAGTTCATCACCTTTACAAATAGGTACAATAAATTTGTTGCACATTTGATATGTTTTTGCTGCATATTGACTTTTTTTTATTTTAAAAACTAGGTTACATAAGTTTAAAATTTTTGAGTTATTTTTTGTTCATTTTAGCCTCATTTTCACTAAGCTTTAGTTGTACATTTTATTTCATAGTATCAGTTCGTATATCGATTTATTAACTTTTTAAAATTAGGTTGCATAGATTTAAAAATATCTTAGCAAAAGCGCAGTGAAAGCACAACAAAAGTATTGTGAAAGCACAGTGAAAGCGCAGCAAGAGCACAGTTGCAATCTGCAGTGAAGGAGCAGTAGCAAATACGTAGTGCTCTTTTACTTTTCCATGCACTTGATTGCGCTTGTACTAGCATTGATGTGCTTTTTCTACACAGCTTTGTTTTAGAAAATTCAAAATTTATAAACCTTTGGAAACCCTTAAAATAACTTTGGATGAGGCAAAAATTACCGACAAGTTGAAACTTGCAGTGGTTCTAGCCAAATTAACTTCCAATTCTTGAACTTTCACTTACCTCCTTTCATCCTTCGTCTCATGTGAGCATTCCATCTCTGTGAATATTGCAACATTGTTCCTTTTTTTTCTTTCTGAGCAAGTATCAGAAGTCCTAAATATTTGGATTTGTGAGCTTTCGTGGGTTTTTTCTTTAGATGGAACGCTAACCCTAAACCCCTCTTAAAAAAATTAAAATGTTGTGGGTCGGGTTGGGTCGGTCGGGCTGGCGAGAGATAAATAAAAGAGGAAATCCAATTGAAAATCCACGTGTAAGGATTTAATTAGAGTCTGGATGCAGATCTACATCCGGACTTCGTACCAAATAATTTCTCCAACGAGAGGGGCAAGGGAGTCAACCCGACTCTTGGGTGGACTCAGGCATTAGCCGAGCTTGATAAGTTAACAGTTAAATTTGAGCAATGCTAATTCAATTCATTTAAAATATATTGATATAAAATATACTTAAAATATATTATGATTCAAAATTTGATCAGGCACGAATCTCGTTGCAAAATCAAGTTGGAAACTTTAAAAAGTAAATCAGAGACCATCTGAACTCCGATTTCAGCAAACACAGTCAAATTGAATATCCTGGAAATACGAACCCAACAATATCAAATTCGACTCAATCCAAACTCAAATAGATCCAAATCAAAGATCTGAAGTGCATATGGAAGGTTCAAACCATAATTTGATATACCAAACGGTTTCCAAATATGACATGCTTATAATCGAATCAAGCAACTCGACAAGAATTGAATTCATCGAGCCTAAGATCACCAAATTATGATATTAAGCTACAATTGATCCTCAATTCAAGATGAGGATCAATTGGCTCCTCCAAGGCACTAAAATTTTATATTTTATTGAGGCTCCAACACAACAATTTTCTGATCTGGTGCCGAGGCATTATAGATGATGTGACATTGGTAGTTGGAGCACTACGTTACTAGTTTTAACACTTATGAATTTTACTCCTTTTTTAATTTTGTCAAATTAGAAGTTCATTAGTGCACTATCCTATATATTAATTCACTTATCTTATCCTATTTGATTTGGGTATTAGGTTGCTTTAGAATTGAGCTTTAGTATATAACAATTTTTTAATGTACTCATATTTTTCATTTTCCCAATTTCTCTTTAGATTTTTCTTATTTTTCACTTTTTCAAAATTGAGAACATATTAATTAATAATTTTGAATGTCAAGTTTGGTTTTATCCCTCCAGCAATCCTAAATAAATTAATGCAAGGATTTAATAAGATGTTTAATTTTCTAGCTAGGCTTACAATAACCTTCATAAATTTAATCTATAGACTTTCTTTTTCCAAACTCAATTACTCATACTTCGTTACAGTTGTATATTTTTAAAACAGGACAATGACTTAGATAATTTTTCTTTGTTAATTATTATGCTTTTTCAAATTATAAATTAAAGTGCTTTATTCATTCAAATTATCACCTAAAGTTTATTATTATTCTTAATTTTAAATAATATTTTAATATTATTTTTTTAACTAAATAAACAATCAAAGCGCAAGTGCTATGCAGAGAATAATTTTAAATACTTAAGCATGTGTGGGAAGTTTAATTAAATGTAAATGACAGAAAAAAATAATATAAGCAAAAGTAACTAAAGACTATCACAAATAAATATAACTAAACACAAAAAAGATAAACTTTCCTTTTCATTAGAATGATAAAAAGCTACAAGGCAATAAAATGCATACTAAAAATGATAAAAGGATTATTATAGTGCATGAAGCACTATTCTCCAAATCCAATGTCCAATACCAGACCTACTCACCGGCATATCATCAACATTGGCTATCACAGCCATCCACCAACCATAATACCACAATGATCCCACCAAGCAAAGAATTGAAAAATAAATAAAAGAGAAATAAACCACAAATAGCAATAACAATAATAAAAATCTTTCCTCTCTCACTCTCAAGCTAGTAAGTCAATAAATAAATAAATAATAATAACCCACAATCACTTAAAATCTCTATCTACCTCCTCATCATCATCATCACCAATGGGTCAAGTCCAAATGAAGGACTGGTAGTTTGGAGCAAAAGAAAAATGAAATTGGTCTGGATTTTCAACAAAGGGTCTCCTTCTAAACATTCCCGATAAAACTTCATTGAATTCAGCTTTATAGTGGTAATGCTTTTCTGGTATTCCAGAATAGTGAGTCTGAAAACTCTTGATCTCATCACAAAATTCAATTACTTTATCAAGTTTCTCCCTCAAATCAACTAAGGCTTAGGGTTCCTACCACTCCTATTAGTACTGGACCTACTAGTCAACCTAGATTGACTAGGTCCAGTCTCCTCCTCTATATCTAGTAGTTTTAAACTCTTTATTTCCTTTTTCATGTAGGGAAGAAATAGGAAAAAAAATTTCACTTGGATCTTCCTTAACAACATCACAAAATAGAGAGAATAAATTAAGAGGGGTGACCTAAACCTACAGAAGTGGTGCCCCTAATAATATACATAAGAGATGAATTTATAAGCTTCACAATATTAATAGATTGCCCCACCATAATAAAATAATTTAAAATAATACCGTCCCTCATGACTTTACTAATGCTTCTACTTGGTATAGAAATAAAATAATGTCATGCTTTAGAAACTTGGGTTAAATAGTTGGCTAGGAAATTAACTAACTTGCCATCACTTTCCTTCCAAACAACTACACTCTAGGGTTCCCAAAGCTGTCTCAAAATCATGTGGTTGTTAATGGGTGCTAAATTAAAGCCATAATAATCATCCTCCTCTATATTCCTTAGTTTGTAAATATTGTTAATAGTTAAAGGATAAAAAGAAACCAGTTTACCATAGACATAACATATGTTATTTTGAACCTCCTTTGCATTGGCAAAAAACTCATGGACAATATTGAAAACTACAACAAAGTGTTCTTCACATTATCTCCCCAACCATCATTCAAAATCATTTACATTATCTCCCCACCTAGGTTTAAAAATCCTTATTTTAGAATGAACTTCTAGGTTACAAATTTGAGAGCATAACTCAATTTCGCTTCAGTAGATATGAAGCCATTCTTATCAAAGGAAGAAGATGCTATTTTCTTATGACAAATATCTTGGTGTAGGGTGAGTGTGACCGTGCGGGTCTGCACGAGTAGGCAAGGGCATCCTGACGAGTCGCATGAGGGTGCTGAACATGTAGGTGCATTGTGGTGAGGGCAGCCTCACTGAACAACATGAAGTGTGACTGTGTGGGTTCATTGTGTGTGAGATATAGGGCGATTAGAGAGACCAAATGGGACTAGGGATTAATTTGGGTTAGCAGGTTGATCCGGACATGAACTAATTTTTTAAACAGGTCAAAAATTAAAACTAGAGTCTGGCCATTTATTAAACGGGTTGATCCGAACCCCAATTTTTTGGGTTGAGTTCAGGTCAGTTTATATGGTCGAGTCAATTATTGACACCCCTACATAATGTCTTAGTAAACTCCTCCGATGATATTAGAGCATTCAACCTTCCCTAGAACCTTTCTTGT